TGGGGTGGCGGGGGGGGGGGTGTATTGGTATCTTCAGGGAGGAGCCCAGTGTCAGAGCAGGAAGGTGGGGGGAATCATCAAGCCTGTGCTGATGCCAGTCCTGAGGGCCCATAGGAGGGATGGGGTGGCGGGTACGGGAGGTGGAGACACATTAGAGGGTGGGCAGGCCAGATCAGGATGGACTCCTGGTCCTAAGCCCAAGGGATGAGGTGCAATGGGGAGCAAGTTGGAACAGGAAGTTCAAAGCAGTGGGGCCACGGTGGGGGGGGTGGGGGGGCGCTCTGGCCCTGCCTCCCTCTCTAGCCACTTCTTAAAGAGCCTGAGTGTCTTGCATACAAGTTTGGACTTTAATAAGTGACAGGGCCTGGGTCAGTGGCAGAGGTGAGACATGCAGTTTAGGAGTTTGGGAGGAGATGGAGTCAGCTCTAAAGTGACCCTTGGGAGGTGGAGACCAGTAGGCAAGGAGACCCTAGGCGCCTCATGGGATGAGCTGGGGTGTGGGGTCCCCGTGCAGAGGCGGCCATGTGGGCCGGTGGAGGGAAGGGGGTGGGGCTGGCAGGGGCAGACAGTCTGAAGGGCCCCTGTGAAGGCGTCTCCTCTCCCCACAGCCAAGGCCCAGGAGGTCCTCCAGGCCATCCGGGGCTACGTCCGCTTCTTCTTCGGCTGTCGAGACTGTGCTGGCCACTTTGAGAAGATGGCTGCTGCCTCCATGCACCGGGTGGGCAGTCGGGACAGCGCTGTTCTCTGGCTGTGGTCCAGCCACAACAAGGTCAATGCTCGCCTCGCAGGTAAGGAAGGGCCACCTCCAAGGCCGGAGTCACCTGCGGAGGGAGGATGAGGTGGGGGGACTTTGGAGTCCTAGACCAGAGTTAGGAGACGGGACACTTGTCGTCCCCCAAGTAACAACACCCCGTGTGTCACAGCGCTTCACAGCGCACAGAGCCTTTCACATGTCCCAGTGGATGGAGGGGTGAGACTAGACCCATTTATGTGTATCAGTACCATTAGACCCATTTTCCAGATGAGGAAATCAAGGCTTTGACCCTCTAAGACAGTGGTTCTCAACCTTCCTAATGCCAGGACACTTTAATACAGTTCCTCATGTTGTGGTGACCCCCAATTTCATTGTTACAAATTGAACATAATTAAAGCATAGTGATTAATCACAAAAACAATATGTAATTATATATGCGTTTTCCGATGGTCTTAGGCGACCCCTGTGAAAGGGTCGTTCGACCCCCAAAGGGGTCGCGACCCACAGGTTGAGAACCGCTGCTCTAAGACCTGCTCTTCTGATGCCCTTGCTCCTTTTCCCCTGCACCAGGGCTCCTCCCTCTGGCCTGGTGGGGTCCCTTTCCTGTCTCCCAATCCTGCTTTCTGGCTATTGGCCCCTTACTCAGACCAACAGGAAACTGAGAGCTGGGCTTTTCAAACCCCACCCCCCTCGGGAGGAGTCTAATGATAAAATGGGCTGGAAAAGAAAGACCAGGTTCTTTCTAGAAATAAGGACTGATTTCACCGGGGGGCCTGGCCTGCTGAGTTCCCTCGTTGGCAGTGCTTCTGGAGTCCGATGGGTCCAGTAGGCAAAAGCATTCATCTCCGGGGTGACCGACTGGCAGGTGGGAGGGAGCCATCTGTGGGCGGGAGCCTGGGCTTGTCTGTGGGGAGAGAGGAGTATGCGTGACTGCGACAGACCACAGACCGCCCAGGGGTGGGGCGTGGGGACAAGGCCTAGGGCAGGGGAGGGTAGAGGAGCTGCATGGAGCAGGTGGTGGTACAGGCAGCTGCACTTGGTCTTGGTCTCCTGGGGCCTCCTGGTGGACTTTGAAAGGAAGACACGTGCCTGTCTCTCCTCCCACCCCTGCCACCAAATGCTCCATCTGACCTTCTCTAGCCCTATGACCTCTGCAGGCTCCCAGCTTCCCTCGGGGCCCAGCTGCTGCTGGTGGGCCAGGAGCCAGGCCTCTCTCTGAGGGACCTAAGGAAGGCCGTTCCCTACCCTCTCTGGGAGGGGGGTCCCTTCCGTTACAACTAATCCCAGTGGCGGGAGGGGAGGCACAGGCTGAGCCCTCACTTTGCAAGGTCGCTCCCCACTTCTCACCGGACCTTGGAATCTACTTGCCGCCCCCTCCCCATTATAACCATCTGGCTTCTACATCTCCTCCTCCGCGGCTTCATTCTGACCAGCAACTTCTTTTCTCCCTATTAAACCCTTTGGGAGCGGTGCCTCCTCCACGAGAGATGGGCAGGGCACAGGCTGAGCCCTCACTTTGCAAGGTCCGTTCCCCACTTCTCACCGGACCCTTGGAATCTACTTGCCGCCCCCTCCCCAATACAACCATCTGCTTCTACGTCTCCTCCGCGGCTTCATTCTGACCAGCAACTTCTTTTCTCCTATTAAACCCTTTGGGAGCGGTGCCTCCTCTACGAAAGATGGGCAGATGGGCATTCCCTGGCGACGCTGAGCGAGGGGCGAGGGGCAGGCCCTCGGGCTCAGCCTGGTTCTGCCCATAGCCCAGCCCTGCTTGGGGTCCCAGCTGCCTGGTGGGCAGGGCAGCTCCTCACTCTTCCCGTCCAGGGCCCAGGCCTCCCCACACCCACCCCTCGGGGCCCACTGGGGAGGGGACTCCACTAACTCCCACCCGCCCCAAAGGGCTGCAGTGGAATTATTATGTGCTACCAACTCTTCTTTTAAAAAAGTTTTCCACTTAATTACAAAAGTAACATATCTCCACTGTATAAAACTTGGAAAATTTCAGAAAATGACAAGACAAATACTAGCAGACCAACCAAAGCCTGCAAGCCAGGTCCTTCCGACTCACCCTTTCCCGTGTCCGGTCTGGGGGAGGGGGTAGAAACCAGCAGAGACGCTGACAGAGGAAGACAGTGGGTTAATATGGGGGAGGAGCCCTAGCTGGTTTGGCTCAGTGGATAGAGCATCAGCCTGCAGACTGAAGGGTCCCAGGTTCAATTCCTGGGCAGGGGCACATGCCCGGGTTGCAGGTCGATCCCCAGTAGGGGGCATGCAGGAGGCAGCCGATTAATGATTCTCTCTCATCATTGATGTTTCTATCTCTCCCTTTCCCTTCCTCTCTGAAATCAATAGAAATATATTTTTTAAAAATATGGGGGAGGACTGGAAGGGAAACCGGAGTGCTGGGGTGCGGGTCGGGAGGACTCCCCTCACCCAGGGGAGTCCAGGCCCAGTGCTAGCTCGTGTTCGGTCTGCCTCCTCTCCACCCGACCTTTTCAAGGTGAGTCCTTCTTTGCAGATGAGGGAGCTGGCATTCTGAATGGAAGAATGAGGTCTGGGCTCCTGGGTGGGCCCAGTGTCCCAGCCAACCTGTGTGTACTTCTCTCCCCAGGGGCCCCCAGCGAGGACCCCCAGTTCCCCAAGGTGCAGTGGCCGCCCCGTGAACTCTGTTCTCCCTGCCACAACGAACTCCGGGGGACGCCCGTGTGGGACCTAGGCAACACCCTCAGCTTCTTCAAAACCCACTTCTCCTGGAGCAACATCATCAGGGACCTTCCTGCCCCGGAGCCCCCGCGGCGGGGAGCACAGAGGATGGCCGCCTCCGCAGAGCCGGAGCTGGCGACCGGAAACTCCACTCTGGGCCCCGCGGAGGCTGAGAGCATGGTGGGCCCAGGGGCCAACTTCCCCGGGACTCTCGTCCTGGGTGCTTTAGTGGACAGACTTGGGGCAAGTGGCCCCCCGGAGACGCAGGCTGGCCTCGGTGTGACCAGAGCTGAGCTAGAGCAGGGACCTCCTGAGCACATAGCAGAGCTTCAGAGGGAGAGGTGGGAGCAGCCAGAAGGGCAGGAACCCTTGAGCGAGCGAGACTTGGGAGCCGGGTTGCTAGCTGAGCTCCCGGCTGAGGACCTCCCCACAGGCCCTTCAGAGCGGAGACGCGTGGGCCGCAGCTCCAAGCAGCTGGCCAGTGTCCCAGAGGGGGAGCCCGAGGCTGGGGCCCTGCGGGGCCGAGGCCAGTGGCTGCAGGTGCTGGAAGGCGACTTCTCGCACCTGGACATCAGCCTCTGTGTGGTGCTCTACTCACTGTCCTTCATGGGCCTGCTGGCCATGTACACCTACTTCCGGGCCAGGATGAGGGCCCTGAAGGGCCATGCCAGCCACCCCACAGCCTGAACCGTCCAGCTGGGGAGGGTAGCAGGAAAGGGAGCTGCTGCTACCCATGGGCTCTTCCAGCCCCCTGTCCCCCTCCCCGCCTTGCTCTTTGTCCAGGGAAACCCAGGAAAACCAGTTGCTCCAGTGAACCCTCCTTGGTCCTTGTGGGAAAGGATGTTCCAGAGACATGAAGACATGCACGGGTCCAGGCTCCTCAGACAGCGCAGGGGCGGGGCAGCCCCGGGCAGGGAGGGTGGGAGCTCTGTCCACGGCTTCTCAGCACCCAATTCCTCTCTTGCAGCTTATCTGAAGCCCCGCCTCCTTCTTGCTGACGCTCCAATGTCTCCTGCTTGGTCTTGGCCCTAAATTGGGGCAAGTGAGCCACAGCTTCCAAGGCTTCCCATCGGAGGAGGGTCCCCGGGGGGCTCCGTGGGCTGGAGCAGAACTCCTCCCCACACCCCAAGGCCCCACCCATCCCGCTCCCTTCAGGATACAGAGGCCTTCGCACCAGAGAAGGAAGGACCGCCTCTGGCCCTGGTGGCCTGCCCAGCCTCCGGCCCCTCAGACCTCCTGGCTGGGGGGCGGCTTTAGCGTAGGGACTGGAAGCTTGAGGTCATGCTGACCTCCCAGGTGACATTTGTCGGGAGGACACCTGGGACTGGTCCTTCCCAAGCCTCTGCTACAGGGAGTGCACAGGCTGGGGCTGGTGTGGGCTTGCTCCGCTGGGTGGGTGATGGCCGCTGGGCTGGGTGAGTGGCTGGCTTAGCGGGACCTGCACGAAGGGCAGCGTGGGACTGAGGTTGGGGATGTTGGGACCTACCGTGCCTTACTCGGGGCTGAGCTGGGAGAGGTGGAGTGAAGAAGCAGGAAAACGTTGCTTCACATGTGCTCTGGCTCTTCCCCCTTCGGCGCACCTATCTGGGAGCTGGACCTTGCTTGATTTCGATTTTCAAAATAGATGCTAATCTTTGAGTGTGGAGGGTGCTGGAGTGAGAGGAGTATCGCCTCTCGGGGGCCACCTCCCGTCTTGTAGAGGTGAACGGGTCAGAGGGGCGGGTGGCGCTGTACATACACATGCTTGATTCTCACTCTGCCCACTGCTGGCGAGGGCTGTGGAATAAATTATTTTTGTTAAGGCAAGCACCCCTGTGTCCTGTAACTTGCTACTTGGAGGTCTAGTGTCCAGGTCTGGACAGACTGTGCAAAACTCTGTCCTGAGAGATCCAGCAAGACATGAGTACCCCCTGGCTCACAGAGCTGCCGGCCTGCAGGGGACCCAGTGCCCATTACAGCCCCTTCCTGACTGTGCAAAACTCTGTCCTGAGAGATCCAGCAAGACGTGAGTCCCCCTGGCTCACAGAGCTGCCGGCCTGCAAGGGACCCAGTGCCCATTACAGCCCCTTCCGCCTCGAGGGGCCCTCCCCGACTGCCCACAGAGCTCTGGGTGCTCCGGGCCCAGCGTCTCCCAGAGCCAGGCAGGCCCCAGTGGAGGTGCAGTCCCACCCCCTGCACCCCCATCATCCCCGGAACACCTGCCCAGGTGCTCTCAGTTCTGCTGGAGGCACCTTCGTCTGCACCTGCCTGGCTCTCCGGCACCCTGCTCTCCAGCTCCCTCGGAAGGAGGGAGGCCCTGGGCTGGCGGCTCAGCCCGGAGGAGTCAGCCGGATTAGAGGGCCTGCCCCTAATCCCTCCTGCCAGGTTTTACAAGGATCAGAGCAGCTGATAATGAACCTCATTAAGAGGGAGCAGGAGCCTCAATCCGATTTGGGGTTTTCTCTTTGACATCACTTTGCTCAGATGGAGGGGGTGGGGTTCCAAGCATGCCCCTTCTGCTAGGGCAGCTGGGGTGGGGATGGGGGACAGTTGGGGTCACCCCCCCTCCCCTGCTGTGTCCGCCCTGTGTTACCTCTGGTGGGTCCCAGCCTGGAGCTGCTCCTCTGTCCGAGGTTCCCTGTCTGTGTCGCTGCTCTAGGCATCCCCCGGCCCGCTCCCTCCTCCTGGGCCAGCTTGCTCACCTCCCCCTGCCCACAGGCCCTGGCTGGCAGGCCGAGAGCCTGCCCGGCCAGCACAGTGTCGGCAAGATGGCCCTGGCCCCGGGGTGAAACAGGCTGGCACGGGCCCGGACTACTTGAGCACACCTGTTCCCCACCACCACCTGGTGCTGCTGCAGTGCCAAGGCATCAGCTCCCATGCACCAGCCCTTAGATAAGGCTCCAGGGACCGCGTTTCTAAACCAAGCTCAGGTACTGAGAACCGGGGCCCGGCCGCGGGGGTGGGTCTCCCCCCTCCGCGGTGCAGCCCCGGCATGTTTTTGCCCTGTCCCAGCCCCTCTGATTGATAAACAAGGGCCCGGCCTCCTCCTCAGCAGGACGGCTGCCTTTCACCTTGATTTCCCCAGGGCTCTTGGCTGCATCCAGCATCGATAACCAGCTCCTCCCGCCAGCTGGTCCCCTCCCCTCCCCGGCCTGCCAGGCCCGGAGCTGGGGCTTCTGTGACTGGAACGCCGCCTGCCTCCCGTTCTAGGCCGTTCTCTGCACCCTGGGAGAGTGCCCGCTCGGGAGAGCGTCCTGGGGGACCAGCACAGCAAGGGCGCCATGGCCCGGGGCGGACAGGCCCTGCCCGGGATGTTCCTACTGAGCGTTCAGGCCGGGTTTCCTGGAGGAGGCAGCTGAGCTGGGCTTCGAGAGATGTGTTAGCAAAGAAAATGAGGAGGAAAAGGGCATCACAGGCAGAGGAGAAAGCACGCGCCGCCGCGGCCAGCGAAGGGAAGTAGTGAATACAGGACTTTCTAAGCAAAAAACTAAAAAGCACTGAAAGGAGATTTTCAAAGTTGCACTGGCCTAGAAGCTGGGAATAGACAGGAGAGAGACGCGGTTCCCCTGCTGTGTGGAGCTTACTCTCTAGGGAAAGGGAGAGGGAAAAGGATGCTGTGGTAAGTGCTCTGAAGCATAGAGAGCAGTGGGGGGCTGGGGGGCTCTCTGAGACACGGGAGGGGTGTAGGGGTGTCACGGGTAGGGGAGGCGCTGTGTGGAGCTTACTCTCTAGGGAAAGGGAGAGGGAAAAGGATGCTGTGGTAAGTGCTCTGAAGCATAGAGAGCAGCGGGGGGCTGGGGGCTCTCTGAGACGTGGGAGGGGTGTAGGGGTGTCACGGGTAGGGGCGGAGGGACCACAGTCCTGAGGGGCCCCTTCATTCAGAAGCCACCATCAGACTGACGAGGTCCCAGAGAGGGGTCCCACCTTTGGCCTGGCTCTTCCCCCAGCAGCCTTGGCACCGGGCTGGGGGTGAGGAGTGGGCTCCAGGGGACCCACACCGCCTTGGCCCTGGAGGGAAGTCCCAGCAGTTGGAGGAGGAGGAGGAGACCTGGCTCGTGCCCCTGGCTGCCCACTGACCGGCTGGTTCTAATCCTGGGTGAACCACGAACCTCTGGAGCCTCAGTTTCCTCATCTGTAAGACGAAGGCCACAGGCTGGGCTCCATGGTCCCTACGGTGCCTCTTCCTCTCACCGTGATGCCAGCTGCTTTGCCGTCAGCTCAGCGAGGGGCTGTGCCTTCAGGGTGACCCCTGCTGTCCCCACAGAACAGCTATGAAGGGGAAGGCTCGCTTGGCTGCACCAGGAAGAGCACCCCAGAGGCCTCTGCCCCTGCACGGCCTCGTCCTCCCCCCCTACCCCCCCCTCCCAGATGGCCCCTCTGAGCTTCCAGGTTCCAGGGAAGCTGCAGGGCAACCCATCCCTGCCCTAGCACCTCCCCTCCTCTGCCCCTCCCACTTCAGGGCCAGCCTCCTATGAGGACAGAGGCTCATCTCTACCCACACACATTCACAGTCCCTCCCACTGTAAGAACTAAATCGGACTCCAAAAAGAATAGTTTAATTTTTACCCCTGGCCTTTTTGTGGCTTGCCCCCTCTTCTGTCCTGTGTCTGTACCCCCTCTACACACACACACACACACACACACACACACACACACACACACAGCAGTGCAGGCCCTGGCTTCTCCCCCGTTGTCCAGCCTGGAGGGGGGTGGTCACTCACACCCAGAGAGAAAACACAACTGCCCTCTCATTCCTCCCACTCCCACCCTGGGCCTGGGCCTGGGCCTTCTGATTGGGCCCCGGCAGTGCGGTCTCCTCAATAGAGAGAGGCTCCCCGCACTCACTCGAGAGCCCAGGTGGCTGGTCATGGCAGAGGAGGACTCCTTTCAAAGCTCTCGTCTCTGCCCTGGAGGAGAGCACCTCAGGGAGGGGTGTGGTCACTCAGGAGGGTCACTGAGTGACAGGCAGATGGTCCAGGCTCTCTATCCCTTCCCTCCAGATTTCACCTCCGCCCCAGTGGCGGCAGTGGGGGTGGGGGTGGGGGCAGGCAAGGGTCACAGACAGGGAGGGAGTGTCTGAAAGTCACTAGGCAAAGGCAGGGGACCTCTGTCAACATGAGGAGATAAAGCTCAGGGGACAGGCCATGGGGCACTGGGGGTCACTGAGGACGACTCTGGGGTGAGATCTCCCTGGCAGGGCTGGCCAGGGGCCAGGTGCTTCTATGGCGAGAGAGCCCACGCCTTCTCGGGGCTGTGGACCCGCCAGGAGAAAGCGGCCCTCGCTGCTCTGTTCAGCCGTCCTCCATCTCCTGGCAGCATGGCTTGCCTCTCGCCGGGGTCGGCCTGGAAGCTTCTGCCGCTGTGGTGGGGGGACCACCTTGTCTGGCCTGGATCTGCTCTGCCGGGTCCCCATCAAGGTCTCAAACCTCCTTGCTTCTGCTGGTCAGAGTTCTGCTTCGGAGCAGGAGGAACTGCTGAGCAGTGGATGCTGGGAATATTGATTATTTCGGGAAATTTCAGCTAGGATCCTGCCTTCACCCAAATAAATCCCAGTGATGTAAAAAAAAATAAGGCATAGAAAAATATAACTGAGTATTTTACTCTTTTTGTAAGTATTAGAAACAATGGAAAGTCTAGCTCAGGTGAGAGTTTGATCTACTTAATGCCAACTTTCAAAAATAAGTTAAAAATAAAATCAAGCTACATTTAAAAACTGGGAAAATATATGTATATGCCATAAATATGACAAAGGGATATGACTATTACAAAAGATGCAATCTTAAAATGAGATTAGTTTGCAACTATTGATATAAGATGTCCAAGGATACATTTCTATAAACAAAAATCTATTTTTATTACAATATTTATTACTAAATATATTTTAATAATGTAATTATTAAATGTAATTTACAATGCTTTAAGTGTGCTTTTTGCTTTTTTTTCCTGCAAAAAGCTTTATTGTTTCTATTTGGCCCAATGCATGGGAGAGGGCTTCAGGGTGGTTAAAAGACTGGCTGGGGTTTCAGGGAGAGACTCAGGCACAAGGCAGACACCAGGGGAGGCAGAGGGCCCCTCACAGGCCTCCGGGCTCCACAGGCTCCTAGTGGTGCTGGAGGCTGAGCCTTTCCTAGAGCCACTCGCCCGCCCAGCCTGGGGCCGCAGCCTGTGGAGGGAGCCAGGTGTGGCCCATCTTCTTGATGAGCTTCACCTCCTCACCCGGAAGTGGCTCTGCGGGAAGTCAGAGCTGAGCGTCTGCGGGGGCAGAACCAGGGCCTGCAGGTCCACCAGGGCCTGGTCAGGTTCCTCCCCAAGGCCAGGCGGCCTCCCTGGCGCCCCGAGTTCTGCCCACTCATCTGGGGAGGCCTCAGCGCGTCCTGGGGGAGAGTGCGGCCACCGCGCTGGATTTGCAACTTTAAGAGACGCTCAGAGCCCTCGAGCTTCTCCGCCATCTCGCCCAGAGAGAGGTAGGTGTGGGCGGCCCGCAGAGGCAGGGGGCCAGGCGGTTGACCGCAGCCTCCACCTCGGTGGGATAATTCTGACAGATCTGGGAGCTCATGGTTGTTCGGCGATAAGGGGTTAAGGTAGAAAAGAAGCCGGTGTGTTGGCTGGTCCCGGAGGGGGGGCTGATGGGGGTGACTGGATAAAACGCAGGAGGGTGGCCGGAGGCTGGGAGAAGGGGCGTTCCTGGGTCTGTTCGTCCAAACACTGTTGAAGCAAGAGGCAGCTCCAAGGGCCCTATTAAAGTGTACATTATAAAATGTAATATATTAATGTACATAAATATAAATGTAATATATTAATATCTAAATAATGTAATTTATAGCATTGTT